GCCCTGTACACCGGTGCCCCCAGCTCCACTTTCCCTGCTGCAGCTCGCTCACAGCCTGCCCACTTACTAGAAGGTGGAAATCATTCTTTCTCCCAGATTTCAGGTCTTTAGCTGAAGAATGTAAGAGTAGCTCTGAACGTCAGCATTCTCCTCTCATCGGAGAGCTACACACTGGAGAGGTCAGGGGTGTGAGTTCTGGAGCCACCTGATCGCGTGGATTTGAACCTTGGCTCTATCCTTTCAGCTGTGTGGGGACACATGCTTCTGCGAGCAACAGTTTCTGCAATCACTAAATAGGGTATTTGAACTTAAACATTTGGGGTTGTTGTAAGGGTTGAAAAGACGCCTGTAAAGAACTTAGCACATTGCCTGGCACTCACATAGTATGCATTCTGTAAGTGTCAGCTGTCACAAATGCTGCCACCCAACTCCTGGCTGTCTTTAACCTGCTTGTTCTCAACACTGCCTGCTAGTTTCTGACCCCACCTTTGGCATCATCTTGCTCTCTGTCACCCAGTCTTCCTTCCTGGTGGCCCCTAGGCTCATACCTTTCTATGCCAATGTGTCCTGAGTGTACACATATTCTGCATACTCTATAGGTCAGTGCCAGCCAAAGGAACGTGCTGTGATGATGAAAATGTCCCAGGCCTGTGCTGTCTAAACATGGTAGTCATGGGCCACACGTAGCTGCTGAGCATTTGCATTGTGATTACACACATGTAGCCAGGGTCTGCTCCCTTGGACGGTGTAGCTCTCCATCCTAGCAATGAGGTTCAGACTCCTGGCTGGGGCACGGCTGGAATTAAGAGCTGGGACTGGGACATACAGTGGGCTGTGATTGGAAGTCAGGCTGTCTCCCCTGGGGGCCCAGGTCCCTGATTGGGCTAAAGATGGGGCCTGTGTCTAGGGATGGGGGGCATCGGGGTGTCTAGAAACACCCCCAATGTAATCACATCCTTTTTCTTCCAAGGTGCGGATATAACCTTGGTCTTTTCCCTTCCATTCCACTCTCTGTAAAATTGAGGCTTGGGGGAGGCTCTTGAGGGAAGGGCGGGACCCAGCCCTGCTCTGTGGGGTCCCCTGGATCTAGACAGCCCTTGAAGGGAAGGAGACCAGGGCCCCACAGGAGCCTGGCTGTCCCCATCCCCTCTAGCCTCCTGGGCTTCCTTCCCCCTCCTGACCCTCCTTCCCCACAGGCTGGTGACTGCCGTGACTATTAATCACTCGCCCTGCTCTCTTCCTCTCTACTAATCAGGCACAATTAGACAAGGCCTCTTCCAGCTGGGCAATCCCCCTCCCTGCCCTCCTCCCTTCTCTCCCAGCCCTACCCAGCCACCACTCAGGACAGCTCCAAGGCTAGGGGAGCACATCTTCACTCTGGCTGCCAGTTCCCAATCTGGGGGCCCTTCGGCATTCCCCTCCTCCCAGCCCAGCTTCCTTAGACCCTTGTCTTCCCTGGTGTGCTCTGGCCAGTACTGGCAGTCCCTGCCTCTCCTTGGCCATGGATGGAGTCAAGACCCAGCACCACTGGGTTTGAGGGTCTCAGGGCTGCCCTTTGCCCCCTTAGCTCTAGAAGGG